GACGAGCGAACGGCGTCACCGTGCCATCCGCCACCTCCGCGAACTCCGCCGTGCATCCGCAAGTGTCGCCGCCTCCCTGAGCGCCGCTGCCTCGTCCACGCCCACTGCCACCTCTGCGCGTCCACGAGCGCCGCCGCCTCCTCCTCCTCCACGACCACCGTCACCTCCATGAGCGTCGCCGCTTGTCCACAAGCGCCGCCACCTCCGCGAGCACCGCCGCCGCCTCCACGAGCGCCGCCACCTCCGCGAGCACCGCGACCGCCACCTCCGCGAGCGCCGCCACCTCCGCGAGCACCGCCGCGCTCCTCTCAGATCCGGGAGCCGCCTCGCCTCCACACCCGCCGCCGCCTCCACGAGCGTCGCCACCTCCGCGAGCACCACAACCACCACCTCCGCGAGCGCCGCCACCATCGCGAGCACTGTCGCCACACCCGCCGCCTCCTCCGCCTCGTCCACGACCGCCGCCGCCTCCACGATTGCCGCCACCTTCGCGACCGCTGCCGAGCTCCTCCGGCCCCAAACGGCACTAACGGTGAGTACAAATCCGTCCATCCCATCCCACCTCAATCCCTTCTACCAAACAGAAAACTATAACCATTCCATACCATAAACCAAACAGACAATTGGAACCATCATATCCCACAAAACTAGGATAGGTCTAACCCATCCCACTTCGTCCCCAAACCAAACACTACGTAATTTTCCGTATCCAACTTTAATTTTATCTTATTAATTTTTTTATAATTAGTATTTTTACTGTTATTAGATGACAAAACATGAATGTTATTTAATTTTTTATATTTAGTATTTTTATTGTTGTTAGATGACAAAATATGAATTGTACTTTTTACAGTGACTTATGCTTTTAATTTTTTTTAAAAAATAAATAAGATGGACAATGAAAGTTAAACACAGAAACTCATAGCTGTACTTAAAATGGAATGAAGGGAGTACTTTATGGTACTATGTGCACAACAAATAGATTTTGTGGCTTCAAATTTCAAGTTAAAATACCTGGGTATAACCTGCCAAGTCTTGTGACATGAACTTTTGTCAAAAAAGTGCAAACAAATAATACAATTCTTAAAGGGTATTTCGTGCAGTTTCATCGGTACTGTACTTTGATATTTGACGATTTTGTTATTAGGGCCTCTTTTATTAATAGGACTGGCAATGGGAAAGTTTCATCTATACCACAAACATTTTTGCTAGTACTAAGTAATACCACAAGTACATTTTTAGAATAGAGGATAATATTATGGTATTACTTGATACCAGCAAAAAATTTGTGGTATAGATGGAATTTTCTCATTGGCGGATTTTCATAAGACTCAAGTTTCTATGAAAATTTTCCTCTATATCCCTTTGATTCATAGAAAAATGAAGGACTAAGATTGTATTCTTATGCTTCATATTTTATAGGAAAAATAGTAAGAAATATGAGCTTATTATGAACTTTTTTTCCCTATGGCACTGTCAAAGGTTCCTATTTTCGTTCTGTACTTTTTTATTCATGTGGAATTAGAGAATCACACCACTTTAATTCATGTGTTTCTCCTATATGTGTTTTTCCTATCACGTTAATCAAAGGAGGCCTCAAATCTAATCAAAGTTACCATCACGACTTCTAAAATACTTAGGTTTAAAACATTAAAATGATGCATGTACATATACCAAATAAATTCATGATCTCATAAACTTACTTATAATATAAAATTGTTGTTAAAGTCGCATCTATAAAGAATAAAGATCTATACTACTTAGAATGTTAGCGGTGGTGGTATCCGTACTGCCACACTATCCCTACTACTAATATTTGGGCCCCACAATATATACTAAGTACACCACCCTTCAACGAGACTATCCTGCTTCACTGCTGGTTCTCCCCAAAAATTGAAATCACCTACTTATTTAATAAGGAAAATTATAGAAGTAATACTTAGACTAAATATGTGCTTAATTGACTTATGCCCTCTTTGTTTAGGCTTAGACTTATTGGCTTAGACTTTTAAGTCAGCTTATTGGCTTATATGATTTATAAGCCAGTGAATTTAATGTCCTAAGTTTAGTGGTGGAGTCATACATATATCTCATATAAGCCAAAAAAACCTTCTCCAACCTAACTTTTGGCTTAATAGTATAAGAGTGGCTTATGGCTTCAAAAAAGCCAAACGAAAAAGTTACTTGTTTGTTTAGACTTAGACTTTTTGGCTTATAAGTTGGCTTATAAGTCTAAACAAAGAGGGCCTTAACTGAGGTAGACTGAGGCAAGCCTCCTAATCACGCATAGCTAGAAGATGGGCCGCTTAAGGCCCATAGCACATAATACTGAAAATATGGAAAAGGTGATGAGTTGGAGGATTGAAGCGGTTGGCTAGTTAAGTGTGGTTTGTGAAATATGCGAACTATATACTAGTATAAATTACCACTAGTCCTTTTGTTGAAAATAAAAGGGAGAATAGCTATTTTAGTCCCTAAAGTTTCTCTGTAGGATCAGTTTAGTCCCTAACCTTTTAAATGGTCCAAAGAAATCCTTAACCTTTGTCATAAGACCTAGAATAGTCCTTGGGTCCACCAAAATCATCATATGGATATGCCGTGTCATCATTCATGCAAAATCTACGATGAATTATCTAATTTACCCTTATGTATATCATAGAAAAATAAATATAAGGGTGAATTAGACATAACCATAGGAAAAATATACTTCTTTTTTTTCACCCTTTTGAGGTATATTTTTGCTCTTACATATACCATATTTTTTTTTAACTTTTTCCTTTTGTTTTTTATTTTCTTATACGTAAGGGTAAATTGGACAAATCATATAGATTTTGCGTAGAAAGGTGACATGGCATGTCTATGTGGCGATTTTGGTGGGACCAAGGACTATATTAGCCCACATGACAAATTTAAAAGACTTGTTTGGACAATATGAAAAATTAAGGACTAAAATGATTCAGGAGTGAAACTTTAGGGAACATATTAGCTATTCTCTCAAAATAAAATAACACCAGTTTACAGCTAGCTAAACCGGTGAACTAGGGATCGGATCGGACGCTCTGACTTTTTTTTTTCAACTATGGTTTGTGTAGCTCCATCCCAAATCATGTTGTAACATGTAACATAACGGTAGATTATCTTGTTCAGATGTAGGCACAACTTACATGTACAAGAGCTTCTTCTACTGCTTAAATAGGGAGAAAGCGAGAGATTCCCTTCGGCCTTACCCTAACATACTCGCTCTATCCTAAAATAATTTTATTTTTTACTTCTGTATTTTAAAATAAGTTTTTTAGCAATCATTGCATTAAAGTTTATAAAAGTAAAAAAAAGCATTAGAAATATACAAAGAAGCAATTACATTGGGATTTAAAAAAAGTAGGAGTATTCCAATCATTTTAATTTTGTATTGCTATATGTGAAATTGGTAAAAATAAATTTATTTTGAGATGGACGGTGTATGACTCTAGCTCCCATTGTGGCCACGGAACACGGCACATGAGATGCCTGCCATTGTACCAAGCATGCACGTACTGTTGCACGCAGCGACGAAGCAGATCTTTGTCTTCCATCCATCCATCCATCCATGCTGGTCAGTCAGTTCCTTTGAGATGCCAATGGACCGACCACCTAACCTACCACGACAGTTACTGCTTCAGAAAACCAATAAGAAAATCCACCCAATCCCGGCCACAGCATCCATTCCCAAACGATGGACAACCGTTGGATGGAGAATCGATGGCTGGTTAACTCACGATAAAATTTGCTCTATGACACTCTAGTTTTATCGTATTTGATAACCTAGTTTTGTGATTTTGCTATAGGACACTCTAATATTGAGTTTCTTTGTGAAAAGACACTGATCCGATGATTATTTATTTTAATATATGCTATTTCAAGGAGAGATAAAACTTTGAAAAAAAAAATTACCCATGGGCCACCTTCAAAGTATAAATTTGAACATATTTTAGCTAGATTTAAAAGTTAATTCATAATTTAGAAAATAAAATTATTTTATATAAGTTGTTTAAATTCAGACAGTATTTGTTCAATTTTTTTATAGAAGAATTAAATGTTTTTTTTATTTCTGTTATTGATAACAAGTTTTGAATTTTGCAAAAAAAATATGTCTAAATTTAGCTAGATGTATTGAAATTTTAATTTTAATTTTTCAAGGTGGCCCAAGAGTAAAATTATTGTTTGGCAAAGAACGATATAACTAGAGTGTCCTATAATATGGTCCCAAAACTAGAGTTTATATAGTAAATGCCATAAATTTAAAGTGGTCCGAAGCAAAATTTCCCTTATTTCACTGAACTGCCAGATCAAGGAGAGTTCAGTTGCTAAACTGAATGACTGATTCTGATAGGACATTGATCCCCATGCAAGATTTGTTTTTTAAAGTACTCATCTGACCAGAATACCTGATCATACCCTGACGAGGACAAAGAGAATTGTTTACTTCTGCTGTTGACACCAGATGCCCTGCAGATCAGACCACAAATATTCCACACAGCATGTTCCAAAGATCAGCTGGATTTGTTTAACCACATGAATTACCCAAGTTGATGTGTTCTCACCTAGTATTTTATTATATACCCAACATATGCCCACAGTCTATATACTTCCTTTTGGCATGTACTGAAAAATAAGATTGGAAAACACACTGAAAATTGAAGAGCGTATGACCATTGAAACAAGCAATATTGTCTGAAGAATTCCAAATACCAGCAGCTCAGGTCACTTTCTTTGTGGGCACATACACAATGGAAATCTTGTGATTATGGACAAGCTCTCTCAAATTGTTTTCTCCCATGGATAGAGCTAGCTGTGCTTAGCTGCCAAAGTCTCAAAGTGTATGTTGCTTCTACGGCAGGCAGCCGACATTCTTCCAGACAGAGATTGAGAGATACAAGCAAGGATTCACAACAACAACAACAACAACAACAACAACAACAACAAGAAGCTACCAAAAAAAAAAGTAGAACAAGAGTAATCACTCAGTATCAAACCAGCATATCATCATCACAGGTCACCAGGTGAAAATTATATTCTCCAACCAAGAACCAAATCAATCATAAGTTATACTCATACATCCTCGGATCCTATCCCTTTCAAAGGACGATGATACTGCACCGGAAGTCGCGAACAATTCTGCGAAAAACAGCATGAACAAATACGCTTTTTCATTGTTCACAATCGGTCCCCTTTTTTTCTCTGCAAAGAGCAACAGATTACAGAGCAGGTGGAGATTACACATTTACGCAAACTTTACAGTACCCAAGAAACCTAAGAGCTATTTGCGCAGGAGTTACGTGCCGCCAACACGACGGGCAGGGTCACAGTTCTTCAGGCTCTGATACAGCACTGGAAATAGCTAAGGAACTTCTTCCTCCCCTGCACACCAGTTGTAATAAAAGGGAGTAAAAAAGTCAGTGGAATTCAAAAAGTTTAGTCAATTATGTACAACCGAGTGCATGGTGCAGATCAACATAGGCCAGTAACATTGGTCAATCATATGCAATGGAGCGCATGATAACAAGGTGAACGAGAAGTTGAATACGCTTTATACGCGACTTTTTGAAAATGACATGTTGACCTTGATAGGTTCAGCGAAATGTTGTCTGACGGCTACGTGGCTGAGAAAGTCTCACCTCATGCTCATGTTTCAAACCATGACTCACAAAGATAACCACCTCACATATTTAATTAATTTCACGAGTAATTAATTGCTGCTGCAATTCTTCATCAGGTAGGCCATCATTAGAAATAGTAAATCAGCAACATCAAGATGCCACCAACCTGAAAGTACAGCTGCACTTGTGACGGCCAACTAAACCCTAGCTTTGCTTGCTCCACAGTCCCCACCCAAAAAGGAAAAAGGAGAAAAGAAAACAGCTTCTCTAACCACCTGACAATCACATCTTTCTTCACGTATTTTGCTTTAGTGATGCATACAAATTAATTAATTTACATAATTTGTTTCAGCTCAGCAGGGCTGCGTATTCAATAATAGAATAAACTTGTATTATCCTGGTAAGGCAGGCTAAGATTGCATAGAAATCAGCTATCCATAAGCATTGGGATGTTCCTACTAGGTCCCCAGTGGACCAGCTCTCTTAATGCCAATTGGGTAATCATCTAATGAGTGTCCATTCAATTACCCTTAGGCATGGCAACCCAAATATAACCAAATGCTACAGAATATCAGACAGGGAAAAAAAATGTTTATGCGCATAGCATTGTAACAATTAGCAAATGCCCTCTTCAACATCCGTGTTCCCCCAAAAACCAGCTCCTGAGGCAATTGAGTCAGCATTCCATCATCCTAATAAAACTCAAACCTACCACCGATGGACGGGAACAGTGTACACCTCAAAATACTATTATAAAATCAATTCATGTTGCCCCTGATAGCCTTCTCACCCCCTCTAATGGACAGTGACATTACCCGTGGATTAGCATATCTAATAATTTTGGAGGAATACAGATCTGGAGACCACAAAAACTTATTGGACCTGTCCTTGTCATCTAGTAGTGACAAGCACCACTACTGCTACTGTCCACCGCATGCGCATAACTGGACGCATTGGCCTGCACCCACCCGCAATTGCCTCCCCTGATTCGGCCACCCTTTCCATGCCGATCGTCATGCCGCAGGTCGCTGCACTGCTCCTAAATTGATGATCATGCCAATTCCATGGATGTGATGCTGCTTGGATGGGTCCACGCCTTGCACTACCATACAAATCTTGCAGAAGATATACTCTGTTTCTCTTTCTCTTTTTTATCAGTTTTCATAAATCGCAAAGATATACTTTGTTCTTCTTTCCTCTTTCAATTTTCACAAATTTGCGCAGATAGTAAAATAGCCAGTGTGGCTTCTAGTAACTAGTATGTGTTCTTCTCTTATCTACCAACACACTAACTCCCAATCAACTTTTGTACCGAGTTCGGCGTAAATGGCGCACGCCTCTCATTTTGCCTCAATCACATAATCAGAATCTCCTAAGGTTAATTATATCGCAGCCTCGCGATTCGATTCATCTAGAGCAAAATTTCTACCCTTCAATCAGGCCATGACCTTGTCATCATCATCATCATCGAAATTTCAATCACACAATTGAAACAAATTAACCAACATCATCGCATAACTACTACTTGTACTAACTTACTACTAGTAACACGATGGGGGTTTCAAAAGGGGGTTTAGTTAGTTACCGTGGGCGAGTCGTCGTGGGCGGCGTGGAGCGGCCGGCGGTGGTCGTCGGCGGCGGCGGAGGCGTTGGGGGCGGGCTGCGGCGCGGCGGCCTTGTGCTGCTGCGCGGCGAGGAGGTCGTCGTCCCCGCCGAGGCTGGCGCGGGAGAGCTCGCGCTTGTTCTGCTTGCGCATCTCCCGGATCTTGGAGAAGTCCATGGAGTAGTCCGGCACCGCGCCGTTCTTCATGTCCCACTCCCCGAACGCCGGCACCGTCATCCACCCCACCGCCCCTCCTCCCCCATGCTGCTCCTCCTGCAAGAACCAATCCGCCATTATTACTCAGCTTCCAATCGATCTCTCCAGAGATTATGCTCGGTTTCTTGCATAATCTCGAGGGAGAAGAATCCGTGCAATTCTTTCCCCCCGAGAAACGAAGAAAATGGTAAAAATCTCTCTCGCGCGCGCGCGAGGAGGAGGAGGAGAGGACGGAAGAAGAAGAAGAAGAAGCAGCAAAGCGTCTCCTCTCCTCTCCTCGAGATCGTACCTCCTTGCGGCTCTCCATGGCGGCCCGGCCGGCCACGAAGCTCCTCCTCCTCCTCGGCTCCTCCTCTCCGCTCGCCGGCGAGCTACTACTACTAGCTAGTAGACTAGCTACTGCTCCGCCGCCTCTTCCGCTTCGCCTTCGCCGACGGTGCGAGGAAAATTGAAGAAGAAGAAGAGAAGAGAGAGAGAGAGAGAGAGAGAGAGGGAGAGACGTGCCGTGCTGCGCTTATAAACAGAGCAGCTAAGCTTGAGCGAAGCGAAGCCGCCCCGCGATTAATTACCAGTCGTGTAATCCAATCTAATCACGATTATGCGGCCGCTAATCTAATCATGTTTTCTCTCCTGATTAGCAGCGGGTCGTGGTGACTGGGAGGAGGTGGGGCCACGCGAAAGATGTGTACCAGCATAGTGGGCCCGAGGCGGGATCTTCTGTGGCGAGCGAGGGGGTGGGGCCCGGTGTTTGGAAGGTGGGTAAAGTGAAAAAAAAAAAGAGGGCCGAAAGCGAGGAGTGGTCGGCGAGAAACGGCTGGGAAAAGGGGCCCCGCAGCAGAGCCGTCCACGGCTGATTCCTCCGCGGTAACATCTGTCAACGGTCAACAGCTACATGACCTGGAATTTTCCATTTTTCACCTTTTTCTCTGCTGGATCCTAAGCACTTTTTCTTTTTCTTTTTTTATGTTTTTACCGAGTCTTCGGTAAAATCCTTTTAAGAGCAAAGTATACGTGGACAAGTGAGAAAAAAATATCGATAATTGATTTTTACGCAAGAGATAAATTTTACACATACTTCAAAATAAATACTCCATCCGTCACTAAAAACCAAACCGTACTAGTTAGTTTTGGTTTTTTATAAAATAGATGGAGTACATTAAATTTATGGCGAGAGAATAAGAGAGGATGAAGAAAAAAAGAAACTAACTAGCTAATCTATTATATACTCCCTCAATCTTATATACTTAATATATAGCAACTGAGAATGAAATTATACTCTTAGACTCATTATAGTACTATATATAAATCTGGATATACATGAAATAAATGTTAGCGCAAATATTAAACTTGCTTTGATATGACAACTCCTTGATACACAGGAGGGACTTTCGTAGGAAGCTCGTAGAATTGAACTTTCACACGAATTAGTTTGAAGAATTTGGGTGTAGAATTACCATAGGAATCCATTCCGTTCTTCACTTTTTCGGACGATTTCGTGGACACAACCTCATGGTTAGGTTCCTTGTGGTGGAACCAGTCCACCCGGGTTCAAATTTTAGATCTGACACGGGTGCTCGTATTTACGGCTAATTATCCTTCATCAATCTCAAGATATACCGGCCCAGGGTAGAGTGTGCGTGTGTGTGTTCATAGGGGTGAATATACGCACGTTGTGAGCGCACCCTCATGGTTTTGATTTCCTTTGACAAATTCAATGCACCATCTCCCTTCATCTCTCCTCTCAACTCTATTCTAATAATACTTTTGCAATAAAGCCAAATGTGTATTTCCTGTGGAGTATGCAAACCGCCAAATACTGCCAATCTAACAAGTTTCATTTGTTTTCTTTTCCCGTAGGATTTGTACATGGCTTCCAGTCCCTAGATTTTTGCTGTTGTTTTTTCGCAAGGTTGATTGAGTATCATTGTCAAGAAACCCATAAGCTTTATAGGAGTTTTACTTTCTTTTCGATAAAAGAGGTTAATACTAACTTCATCCCAAAATAAGTTCATTTGAAAAGAGAAAATTTGAAATACTAAGAAGGAACTTAGCATTCAATATTCATAGAGAAGAAATTGGTGAGAGAACCTGCGTTCGAAGGGATTCGAACCCAGGCCAGCACGTTGCTCCTGGCAGCTCCCTGCCAGCCAAGCTAGGTGTCGTTCTCCAAGAAAAGTTCGCAAGGGCCCTTCGATTGCGATGGCTCTAACACGAATGGAAGTTACCGGAAAAGGTTTGGGTGGGGTCAGAAACACCTTGTGATAAAACTGACAAGCTACTGTTTGCAGCGGCAACAACAATACAAATTGGAGGTGGAGCAAAAGCGAAGTTCTGGGAGTCAGCTTGGCTCCAAGAGAGAAGATTGAAGGATGTCGCACCACTAGTCCACTTGGCCTCTAGGAAAAAGAGCAGGACCCTCAAACATGCCGCTTTAGCAGATCAATGGCTGCACGACCTTGCTCTACCAACTAACGAAGGATGGACAACGGATCTGATTGACCAGCTCATCACCGTTTGGAGCGCCGTTCGGAATGTACACTTCACGGAACATGAAGATCAGATCACATGGAAGCTCAACAACCATGGTGAATACACGGCCGCCTCAGCTTATAAGGTGCAACTCCTGGGTACAACATTGTCAAATTTCGACACATTGATATGGAGGCCTTGGGCACCGCACAAGTGCAAGACCTTTGCCTGGCTGATACTCCAAAACAGAGTGTGGACATCAGACAGACTAGCAACCAGAGGCTTGCCCAACGGATCCACATGCCCTTTATATCGCCAGACTCAAGAGACAGCTCTCCACCTGCTAACGGAATATAGATACACAAGAAGAATTTGGAATGAAATCGCGCAGTGGACATGCAATGACCATTGCCCATCTAAGACCTTCTAGCTAACAAATATCTTTGACGGTACATGAGTGGTGGGAGGCCACTGTAAGCATACGTGAAGCACCTAAGAAGGCACTACACACGTTAACCTTGCTTGTTAACTGGGAGATATGGAATGAAAGGAACCGGAGGACTTTCCAGCACAAGAAGTTGCCGGCGCCGACTCTGCTAGCCAAGATAAAGGTGGCAGCAAAAACATGGGGGTTGGCGGGCGCAAAAAATCTCGCCGCCTGGTTGACAATGTAACTGCCTATAGTTAGGGCCATGGCCCTGGTTTTGGTGTTTTTTTTTACATTATCCTTTTTGTACAGTTTTCTTCTTCTCTATGCAATGAAATTGGCGGCCTCGTCGATTTGTTAAAAAAGTTCATTTTTCACCCATCTCATACATACCAATACAAACACCAAAAGACTAAAATATTCCTACTTTATCCAATTCCAATGTAACTATCACTCACTTTATCTATTTTCAATGCAATTATTCTATACTCCATCCGTCCCATTTTAAGTGCAGCCATGATTTTCCGTGCAAAACTTTGACCGTCCGTTTTATTTATAATTTTTTTGAAAAAAATTAAAAACATAAGTTATATATAAATTACTATTCATGTTTTATCATCTCATAATAATAAAAATACTAATTATAAAAAAAATTAAAATAAGACAGATGATCAAAGTTGGGCGTGGAAATTTATGGTTGCACTTGGGACGGAGGGAGTACTTTTATCCGATGCAATGATTACTGAAAAATAAACTTATTTCGAGACAAATGATGAAAACTAAAAATGAACTTAATCTCTGCGATTGGTGCTTGAGATTAAGCATTGGTTCTACTCGAACTGGCACATAATTTTCTCTGCAATTGCTGAACAGGAAATCGGAATGAGAATGAAGGCCTTCTCTCGAAGCCTGATTGTTGGCCCAATCCGTTGTAACCTTCATTTTCAACATGAATTCAGTCAGATAACTTCACTGTCCTGACGCCAACTCTGATGCTATCTGAATCAACGAAACTCTTGCAGAGCATATCATTTCTGGAGCTTGGATCTCTGAAAATTATTATATGTGATGGCATGCGGTTCATCCTTGGCACCTTCGACTGAAAACTACTAGAATCTCTTTCATTTTGTGAAGGGTAATCTAAAATATATATTATCTGAAAGCAGAACAGTTTTTTGCTAATGCATTCATCAGGAAGTCCAGAATGCTGAATGCAGGTAATGGGAAACTGAAGAATGAGATTCAGAAGCAGCTTTTCTTGGAACAACAACGCGCTGCCGCATTTGCTTCCATGGGAAAATAACCGAAGCAATTTTTTCAGATTACATAGGATGATTTACATCCCTGGTCTCTGCATCTTGATGGATGCCACCATGAACAACTTCAGCAGTACAAGCAGGGTTCTTGAATTTCATGGATGTCATGTCACCAGAAATATTTGTACATGTCATAAATATTCAAACTACAGGTAATTGGTTAAACCAACAAAGGCTAGGAAAAACCATGCACAACGGCACAAATCTAAGAATCCATTTATCTATTGAAACAAGTAAAAAAAAATAATGATCGCGTCAGAATGCCGGAATCACGTTCCCTGTTACACACACATCGGAGTCTAACAGCAACAGATGTATCCAACCTCACAAAACAAAGAACTACAGATTGGGCACAACATCAAAACAAAATATACAGCTAGAGGTTACAAACAACTACAGCACGAAGTTCCAAACTATCCTAGGCTGTGCATCTAGTGCACTTGCGCAGTCCTACAAGCCGGCAGCGGGGAGCCTGCAGCCGGCAATGGGGAAGCCGAGGCGGAAAGGCGCCGTGGCGAAGGCTGCATCCGCATCGGCGACCTAGGAACTGAACCCGACGATGATCTCCTCCGGGTGTCAACCTGCGGTGAGGTCACGTTGTACTTGGGGTCTTGCAGCTGCTGCAGCTTCTCCAGGACCTCGGACATCTGGGGTCGCATCTTGGCTTCGCTGCGGATGCACTGCAGGGCAATGGTCGCGATAGCGTGGGCGCCTTTCTTAGGGTACTGTCCGCCCAGCTTCATGTCCATGATGCGGTACAGCCTGCGCTTGTCACCCAAGTAGGGTCTTGTCCAGTCAACCAGGTTCTGTTCTGATGCTGGTTTCGATTTGTCTAAGGCCCGTCTCCCAGTCAATAACTCGAGCAGCACAACACCAAAGCTATAGACATCTGCCTTTACAGAGAGGCGACCTGGATCATATTTGAGCATTGTGAGAAACAATTGCAACAGAATTTATAAACTGAAGATCTCAGCAGTTAATTACAATTGGATTTTATTAGTGCCCCATCATACCGCTCTAAGAGGTGAAGGACATGTGCCCCCCAACAATAATACTATCTCCTACCACTACCAGATACATTAGCCAACAAGAGCAAGTCCTAATGGCATGACTATTCTTTTCAAGTAGATCATACTCCCTCCGTTTCTAAATGTTTGACACCGTTGACTTTTTAGCACATGTTTGACCGTTTGTCTTATTAAATTTTTTTTGTGAAATATGAAACACTATATGTATACATGAAAGTATATTTAACAATGAATCAAATGATAGGAAAAGAATTAATAATTACTTATTTTTTTAAATAAGACGAATGGTCAAACATGTTTAAAAAAGTCAACGGCGTCAGATATTTAGAAACGGAGGGAGTATATGTTTTCTGCTAGATTCATGCACGGTAAAAATCAAATATCCAGAATTTTGTTTCCAATTTTCAATAAAACATTGAGACTTACAAAATTCAGAGCAAGTAATGTGTACAAAGTCTGTTTTGTACTTGAAGCAAAGACAATTGTATCTTCCAGTTACTTGTTATTGTTATGAAGTAGGAACCAAATATAATGCAAAAGTTGTAAATCATTTTAAATGTCCAAACTAAAGGCAAAAATCAATATAGATTCTCTTTGAAGTGCAAATAAAGAAATTTATATTTAAAATTCAGGGTTTTGTTTGCAGAACTTAATTTTTCAGGATAACACAAATTTTGTAATAGTATTAAACAAGAAAACAACATACATTCCAGATAAAAATGCAGGCTTGCAGTGATTTCAAGTAGCATAAAAGAATCCCTTTATGCACATAAGACTTCCCTAATGTTTGTCCAAAATAATAAAAAAAAGAAAATGGAAACTTGCAGCTTTACCACACTCCAAAAATGACATATTAGAATGCGTGGAGTTAAACCTCAAAATCTTAACTCAGTGATAAATATAAGAAGCTCTTCCTGGCCCAGTCGAGAAAAGGCCCCAAAGGCCGCCTACCCGGGTGCCCAGGGCATGTGGGTCACATGCATTTTACTGAAGGCAACCGTAGTGATTACACATTTAATACGGAATAGCCAACGAGAAGTCCTTTTTTTTCCCTGTGCAAATCCTGGGTTCGAACCCAGGACCGGTGGCTTCTCAACTGGAAGCACTACCGCCTGTCAAGGAATATAGTCTTTTATTTACATATATAGTTTATCTCTTTACGTATTTTGGTCTCTTGTACTCCTATATATTGCCTCCTTGGGGCTATTATTCAATACAAGCTATATTCCTAACATGGTATGAGAGCCTAGATCTAGGGTTTCGCCAGTTTTCCTCCTTGCTGCTTGTCTTCTCTCATCGCCTGACGATTTTTCTTCACCGGGTGATTTTCCTCGTGGGGCCCCGCCGCTTTTCTTTGCACGGACTCCTGCTTCCGCCGCATGCAGACCCACTGCTTTCCTTCGCACGGTGCTGCTTGGCACTTTGCTCCTTCATGCATGGGCGTCTGCTTCCACCTCCCGCGTGGTGCCACGCACAGGAGTTGCTGCTCGCTGCTCCTTCAATCTATGTCGGCTAGCGCAGCAGGTCTTCCGTCAATTGGTTTTCTCAGTTGGTCAGCTCTGCTTTGAGCAGATTGAGTATGCCACCAGATAGATTAGGGCAGGCAAGAAGGGAAAAAAAAAAGAAGGCAGAAGAAGAAAGGGAAAATGTCTTCATCTTCTACGCATTCACTTGGCTCTAAACCATCCCTCGTTTGCTAATAAATTTAAAATAAATATTAAGATTTGATGTGTGAAAATGACATTAGTAGATATGACAATGAGATGATGATAACTCAAATAAAGGATCTTCACAAATATTTGCTATCGGTCATAGTACAATAACAGTCAGCATGTCATTTGGTGAAATAGATACGGCAAAACAAGATTTGTTAATTCAAAACTACTGTACATTTTAGATGTCACCAAAATAAAAGCTTAGCACCAACAAGGTGGTTTAACAACACTCTAATTCTAGCTTCTTTTCCTTTTTTGTAAACTACTCTAATTCTAGCTGATTGAACATAATTTTGAAGAAGTGACCAACATCAAGGGTAGTAAGCAGACTGCCATTTAATAAATCTGTACCAACTTGTGAATTATATGAACTCAAAAGTAAGATCATTCCTGACCTGTTGCAACATATTCTGGAGCTGCATAACCTCGGGTACCCATGACTTGTGTGGAAACATGGGTTCTATCCCCAGTTGGGCCTGCTTTTGCCAGACCAAAGTCTGAAAGCTTTGCGTTGAACTCCTATAATGGTGAAAAAAGGAAACAAAAGTTAAAGTAAAAACATTTGCAAAAGGTCAAACTTTCGAAGGACAAGAATGAGTAGCTATTTTCATGTATACCGAGTCAAGGAGAATGTTTGATGCCTTGAAATCACGATATATAACTTGATTTTCAGCATCGTGCAAAAATGATAAACCCCTAGCAGCCCCAATAGCAACTTTGAGCCTTATTCCCCAGGATAAAGGATCTGCACCACCTAAAATAACAGAAAATTCCATTTAATGTGCTGCCAAATTTAAGATATTGAACCCGTATATATTTAGAAAATAGTGTGGTAGAGTTAAATGCATACGCCTAAATAGATGATTCTCCAAGCTTCCTTTAGGCATGTACTCATACACCAGAAGTCGGTTATCACCATCTGAACAATAACCAATGAGTTTAACAAGATTCTCATGGTGAAGTTGGCCAAGGTAGTCAACCTCTGTCTGCAGCACATCAATCACAATTAAGAAACATTGTAGCACCTCAGAGAAACCTAGAAAGTTGGTTTATAGCAGACGTACCAGCCACTCCTTGTGACCCTGAAAACCTTCTGGTTTTAACTTTTTGACGGCCACAACCATACCACTCCCTGGCCTTGCAGGAGCAAGAGTTTGCTCATCGATCCAACCTTTATAGACATAGCCAAATCCTCCTTCCCCAAGGAGACTGTCGGGCTTAAAGTTCTTTGTTGCATTTTTGAGTTCACTCAGTGTGAATGCCTTTAAATTTGACGATGATAAAATTTCTCCTTCTGTCCTAGGAGTAGGAAGGTCGCTACGATCCTTATAGGAAGGTACAGTCCAAGATGAACCGCTTTTTGTAGTTGAAGGGTAAGATGAATAGGTTGTCTTGCTAGCAGCTTTTGATGGATCTGCTTTCCAGACAAGAAACAGAGAGATATACATAAGGATAACTGTTGCATAAATCGATTTATTTGTAACCAAGGTAATAAATACTAGCAAATAGAGGGTTGGTAGCGGATTAGTGTACGGGTAGCTGATTGTGGATAGTGGTTGCTATTGCAGGCACTAAATTCCAATAGCGGAATTCAAAAAGTAACCATAACTTTAGATTATATATGAATGCTAACATCAAGTTTCACTTAAAATAAGTTTAGGTTACATACTTTGATACTCATACATTTCATAGCATAAAAATTATAAGATAACAAAATAAGTAAGATATAGAGAAGGCGCACTGCATTAAGTTCTCCTGTCCATGCATGAAGAATATCATTTAAGAGCAATAGCAGCGCAACAAGCCAATAGCAGACTACTATAACGGTTGCCAAGCGCTATAACGGCCACTAAATTCCAATACGCTATATTTGATCCACTACCTTGTAGTGCTAGCGGTAGAGGTCAGCTACCGCTATAGCGGACGCTAAGAACGGTATTTATTACCTTGGTTGCAACACAATGCAATTGTGTGTTCAATTATGTCTGATTTCGTTCTTGCAAATACTTCAGCCTAAGGTGTCAAAACTTAAAACATCTCTCTGGTAGGCGGTAGCAATATGCAATGGCTGTATGAAGGTGTAACATCTAACAGTAAACACAAAATCCGGTATCTATCAGCTCGCAAATATACTTACTCTAGGAACAAATTAAACCTCCTTTCGAAAAGCAAATGCTAATTGGAAACGATTTATATTCCTACACAAGTTAGAAGGTTCATAACTATTACGACAACAAGACATTACTTCAAGACTTCCCCCCAAATCCAATCATTATTATACCAAGCATATGTATCATTTGCCATAACCAGACCATCTGAGGCTTGAGATCAATAACAAGGTAACTAAACCCTAGTAGCAAAACTCTAGAAATGTAGGAAAGAAAGAAAGAAAAATTTAGAAATCCCACCACTCTCACCCCTTTTTCCATGTAACAATAACAATCCAAATGCTATAGACAACCAAACCAAACTAGGAAGGAAAAAAGGGAGAGCCAAAAGTGAGGGGGCACCCACCCAAAGGGGAAGCAAAACTCAACAATAGCAAACATAGAAACAAGAAGAAGCCAAGTCTGTGCCATTCAATTCACAAGTATGGAGCGAATCACACAACAATGGAATGGAACCCAACCAACCCCCAAGAAGGAGGGCGCATCACTCACCGGCGTTGTTGGTATCCGGCGCCGCCGCCGCCGCCGCCGCGGTGTCCATGCAGTTCCCCATCTACCTACCGATCTACCGAGCGTCCATCGAAACAAGAAAATGGCTTCCCTCCCCCCCCTACCAACAGAATCCCAATCTTTGGAGAGAAGATCTGAACCGAGACCAAACCAAACCAAACCAAACCCAGCCAAGAACGAACGAGCGAGCGAGCAAAGCGAGAGGGAACCTCCTCCTGGCTCCTCCGACCAACGCCAGCCACAGCCCAATCCAAGAAACCCAACCGCGGCGATCACCACTCACTCCTGTCTCGTCTCTCTACTGCTGCTGCTGCCTGCTACAGCCGGCGAGTCGTCGTCAACTCGCGCCGCGCCGGCAAGCCCCCGCGTCGTTGGAGATCGAGAGGTGCGGGACGACGCGACGAGGAGAGCTGCGGGTGGTGGTGGCGATGGCGGCGGCGGCGAGGCGAGCTCGTCTTCTGTTGTAGGAGTAGTAGGCGCCGTGTTGGGGGCGCAGCGGAGGAGACGGAGAGTGCGAGGTGGTGGCCGGTGGGTCGCTGGCAGGTGGGGCCCGCTGGCTTTTGCAGTTCCGCACTGGATGGGAGTGTGGATTTGGGAGCTAGTACTAGGAAAAGCCGAAAAGGTTGTTTTTATTTTTTAAATTTCTAGTTTGCTTTTTATCATCTACTTTAGATGATGATGGAGCGTCTCAAAATATTAGGAATTTTTTATGGATAATAACTCTATATCATGTTACTGTGAATTAGGATACGTCTCATCCATCCAAAATTATTTATATTTTAGAACAGAAGGAGTAAGTTTTATTTTTAAGGATACGTCCCTTGGAAGCTAATCTTACGTGCATGTAAAACAGAGTGACTTATTAGTATATGATTAATTAAATTTTAGTTTAAAAATAAATTAATATGATTTTTTAAATAGCTGATATAGAATTCTTTTTTAAAAAGTAACAATTATTAGTACGGAAAGCGTATGCGTGGAAAATGAGAGAGTAGAACTTGGTAAAGGAAGAAACGAACTCATTGGGAGCTGGAAATATTTTTCTTTGTTTTGGTTTGTTTTCAGTTCTTTTAGTATGGATTTGGATTTGGATTTGGGAGCTGGAAAAAAACATAAGTATATCTTTTTGGTTTGATTTTTAGTTCCTTTAGAAGAAGAATAAGATTAGGGGCAATACCAAATCCTGGCAGACTTGATTCTGCTTGGTTTGTTTTTTCTCCTCCTTATCTTCCTGCCTATCGTGCTTGAAGTCAAGCTTCAATAGAAAATTCTGTTTGGAAGTCAAGCTTGGATGGAAACCATGCGTTCATATGGATCACACAAAATAAAATCCTTCAGGAAAAAAAAAGTCCTCGTATTTATCACGAAGATTCTGCAATTTTACATCAAATGAGAGTTCATTAAATGGTCACAGTTAAGTTGTACACATTTATTTTTAATAATAATAAGTAGGGTGAAAAAAAATGAAAATAGTGGTTAAAGTAGCAAGGGAATCAAGCTGGTTAACATCATGAAACGTGGTCAATGCGGCACCCAAGCCATGGGGCCTTGAATCTTGAACAAGCATGTGCACAATGCATGCATCTGTTGTCTTTGCATTTTGTTGTCTTGTGGGTGTTTTCTTATGCAAAATGGCACCAATGCAACAAAACCACAAGGTGGCAAAAGAATCTCAAGCTAGGTGGGGTGGGTCCCAGCTGGATTTGGGCCTATATATTAGATAAGAAAATGAGCTGGAAATTTTTGCACTTATCTTATCTATGATAATGATATGAATCTTTCATATAGGAGAAAGGATCTACTATTTCTTATAGAGCTTTAAAGCCACTTTCTTCCATTGTAGGAAAAAAATGATGTATTTTTATCTTTCTGAAAGGAATAAACATGTTTCTTTGTGCTTTTAATCCACTCTCTTTCATTACACAAAAAGAGGAGAATTTTTTATCTTTCATATAGGAAAAATGACCTATTTCTTAGAGTTTTTAAGCCACTTTCTTCCATTGCAAGAAAAGGAGATATTTTTTATCTTTCAGAAAGGAATAAACATGTTTCGTTGTGCTTTTAATCCACTCTCTTTCATTACACAAAAAGATAGATATTTTTTTTTTGTCTTTCGTAAAGCAATAACAACATATTTTTGTTTGTGCTTAAGAAAAGAGTGGTGTTTTTTTCCCTCATAAAGGGGAAGGGAAAAGGTAATGGTTGAGTTCCCCATTTCATTCTACAAGGCACGACCTTCAAAACTCAAATCTAACCATTAATTTATCCCAATTGAAATACACACGTATATATGGATCATGGTACCACTTTGGTACTATCAAGGATATTCATAGCGCAACTAATTCTTGGTAACAATTATGATTTTTGTTTTAATTTTAGTGTGTGTACTTCTTATATATAAATGACCGGGGTGTTATATCCGTCATATATATACTCCCTTCGGAATTTGATATAACTATTTGACGTTTTAGACCATTGAAATGGCTTGCATCTAGTTATCTTTTGCTGTCCGAAACGACATAAAGGGGCTGTTTGGTTAGGTGCCACACATTGACACACCACATGTTAGGCATGCCACAGATTGTTAGCTTAGCGTTTGGTTGCTTGTTTCAGTTGTGGCAAGCCACACTTTCTTAATCCATGGGCCTACATGTCATATACTCATTTTCTAGCCAAACATTGCTACACTTGTGACCAACAAATTGTTGGCCACACTTTGTTTCCCATACTACACCTATGGCAAATTAAGTTGTGGCAATGTTAGGCACCAACCAAATCTTTATGGAATGGAGTATATCTTTATTTCAACTATAAACTTTTTTTTCCAAGCACTCTGTTCTTCTTCTTGTTCTCCTCATCAGTAGTAGATCAGGCCGGTGATCAGCCACTTGTCAGTAGGAGAGAAAAACTTCCAGCATGTGCTACATTTTCTTTACCAAATATCACTATATCATTCATATCAAGAGTCATACAAGTTTGAGAAAGTTCCAAATTAAGATCATTGTAAATATGAAATTTCAAAGTCAGGATCGTTGCCGGCACTGTTAGATACGGAAGCTACACATTTGTGAATGAGACACATATACCAGTTAATTAGCAAGTTGCTGTAGCCACACATGCATGTGTTTGCCGGTCCAAGTAAGTAGTTCAATTCCGACTGCTGTTTAATTACGCAATCGGTTTCTTGCATGATTGTGCTTGTAAGATTTGTAATGTTATTCCTTGATAGTCAGGACCGGAAAATTACTTCTCTCTGTAGCCTTCTGCAATTTCTTAGCATGCAGAAACAAAGAGAAATCATTTCTATCCTTGAGTTTTTTTTGGGCATTTTGTGTTGGTCAAATCGGTAATTGGACAGGATATACGAGTGTTTAGCATATCTCCAAATTAATAGTATCATTTACCTAATGAACAGCTAAACGGTCTGTTAATATAGTGTCAATTTCAGTCAGAATCTCACCAGATAGCAAGGTGGCATATTATGTCAACTGGTCAACTTGTGTTTAGCTATATGTGCCACAACTCTTAATGCACAAGGTGACATACGTGTCGTTAAAAAAAGGCATATGTTGAGGTTTCTAATGACAACAAGCACAATATAATATTATATATTTAGATCTCACCCCCTTTTTTTTCTAACAGAGTCAACTCAGTGAATGCAAATTATGCACAAAATGTTCTGAAAAATAATTTATCATTTGGTGCCATGACATAAATTTGATCTCTTAACATGACATATGCATGACATCAGGTGCATCATTAATTTCCTAGTCTATTATATGATTGGACACCTGATCACCTGGCAAGACTTATTTTGCAGGTACATTCCCTGTACCGGTATAGTAGTAACCGATAATATATGAGCATGAAATGAACAATAATTCAAAAGTCAGTGGAAAACCTGAATACCATGCATTTATATTCGAAAGTCAGTGGGAAATATTAGCCACTAACAATTCTTATCTTGAGCTAACAATTCTAACACCTATATTTGGGACCAAGACAGTAACTTAGCATGTGTAGTTTTGCACTAACTAGATATGCACATAATAATTTAGTAATTGTGGGCACTAGTGAACAAGTGAAGTTATGCATCCACCTATGACTACACCACAACACTTTCCGAATCTAATTTCTAACATAAAGATGGGAGTATCCGAATACCTGTCCATGTAATCCCTCTCAATTATCTGAAAATTGTGATCTCTGTCAAGAAAGAACATAAAAACGATGCTCTTTGATCCTGCCTGATCCTTGCCTTTCCAGTTTTCAGCATCTGTATGCATATGCATCTAGAAAGAGATAAAGATGACCCAGCATGGTTTTCTTTCTGACATTTTTAAGCCATGCATAGGCGCTTACCTACATGGATCAGGATCGATCATGAACGGATCCATACCCTGGCAGCCTGTCGTTCTCTGAACTTTTGGAGGTGTGATGCGTTGTCATGACTGAACTTTCTTGCATTTTCGCCTCTTCTGTTTTCAGTCACGAGCTGCCTGATTGGAAGGCATGAGGTTTTTGTTGATCCAGAGCTGTAAAGTGAGAGGCGACTTGCTGAATGAAAAACTTCACATGAATGCTGCTGTAAACTTGTATCTGAGCTTGCATTTGAGTGCCATACTCTGCCCTTCTTTTGGGAGACTTGCTAGCCTATTTACATGAGCTGACCATGGTACTTTTTTAAGATAAAGGGAAGGCTCCCATAAGCCAAGCGATATATTTGTGAACCAAAAATAATTTGTGAATAAAACTTTTATATATGCGTTCTTAGCGACATAAAAGCAAAGGCTAAAAAATAAACTTTGATTAAAAGAACCCCAAAATCAGCTTCAAATATAAGATTAAAAATTCAAATTTTGGCTGATAAGCATAAGCATAAGCGAAAAGATGAGGCCGGAAAGCTTTACTAATGTTAGGTAATAATATTAAGATGATACAATTTCTCTAAAATCATTCATGGCCTCTATATAACTAGAATGCACATGACCAAAAAAACAAGAAGGATAACATGACAACAAATATCATGCTGCGTCAATCTACAACCATAGGTAATCTTCATCCTAAAACTCCATCGAACCAACATTTGGATGGTGAAAAAGGCTCTCCTAAAACATTGCCTTCAAAAAGGAACTGTTGCGTGCATGTGCCGCCATTGCCATGATCCAATTTAGTAAAGGCTAAACCATAAGGTTTCACCCTAAAGAGAAAGACTTTGACTCTACACAATACCTTCAACAAGAAAGCAAAACATCATTACCAGGTACAACCAGCTAAAACCAGACCTAAGGTTCAACCTCGGAGTCGAGGAACCGGTGCTCAAAGAGAGTACCTAATAAATATCCCTAATACTGCTCGCCCCTCATTTTGAGCTAGAACCTTCACCCCTCCCCTAGTCTTAGCTAAATTGCAATCAACCATAAACACCATAGTCACAACCATCTTTAATTTGACATGACACCCTATGATGATTGTGGCGTGAACAAGCTAATATACACATATCCAGAATCCATAGAGTTCATTTGAAGGGCATACTCTCTTCGTCTAAAAAAAGAGCTAACCTAGGCAAGGATATGACATAACCTGTCCAGATTCGTTGTCCTAAGTTATATCACATCGTTGTCTAAGATTATTTTTTCTTTTGAACGGAGGGAGTATGTGTTATTGACGTGAACGATCCCGAGAATCAAACCAAGATGACGTACTCTAG